CAGGTGTGCGTCCCTGGGCCAGGCCCCCAGACAGCCTGGGACAGCAGAAAGGCTGGCTTGTGGCTTCAGAACCTGATGGACCCGAGCTCCAGCCCCAGCCCGGTCTCTTCCCAGCTGGGCCACCCCAGGGGAGCCGATCCCGTTCTCTGAGCTGATAAAACCCAACCCTCTCTTGCACTGGTGCATGAAGGCCAGGGCTCTCCCGGCCGGCCGCGGGAAAGGGGGGACTGCCGTCCTAGTTTGGGGTGCTCGGGTGGGCGTTGAGCCCCGTGCCTGGGAGTGCGAGGGGGAGACTCTGGGGCCTGTCTTCTCCTGGCTCATCCGGCCGGGAGCCTGGCCTGGGAGCCATAAATAGCAGCTGCAGAGTGCAGCGTGCCCACACTCCTAAGCATGAGTCAGCCTGCCCCGGCCTGGGCTGGTGCCTGGAGGAGCAGGGGGCTGGCCCAAGGCTGAAGGCCCGGCCCAGTGCCCCTGGTCACTCAGAGACGGAAGCAGGCAGGCAGTCGGAGCGGGAGGGAGCAGGGCTGTCATCTCTGAGCTCCTGTGTGCCCAGCAGCCCCAGGAGGGTGGACGTCATGCCCGATCCATCGCTCCCAGCAACCCTGGGAGGCAAGACAATGGTGATCCTCATCCGCAGATGGGGAGACTGAGGCTCAGAGGAGCGCTTGGCCGGGATGCGGAGATCCACAGGGCTGTCTCCATCGCTAGCTGAGAGCACTCGGAGATGTGGGGCTGGGGCCAGGCCACCCTCTGTGGTGCCCCATATGGCCTAGGACAGGGCAGGAGTGGGATGTGTCCAGGGAACAGCTCCAGGCAGCCGGGGTTGGATGGGGAACCGGAGGGGAGCTTGGGTCAGGTCGGGAGCAGCTTGAATGCCAGGCTGAGAAGCTGGACCTTGACCTGGAAGTGAAGGAAGCCAGGGGTGGCATGAGAGCAGGGGAGTCTGTGCGGTGAAGACCAGGGTAGAAGGAGGGCTGGAGGGGGGCTGTCCTGGGAGGCCAGGAAGGAGGCGGGTGGGATGGTCCAGGTGCTAGAGGCCGGGAGGTGCAGTTGAGGGGCTGAATCAGGGAGAAATGGGGCCCTTCAAGCCCCCAAAGCAGGACGAACCTCAGAGGCCCGGCCTCTGGGGGAGCCAGATGGTCTTGGGGGGCAGTGCCCACCTCTCCAAGGGAGCAGGAAGGGTCTGGCTCAGCCAGAGCCACAGACATGTTGGGTCAGCAAAAATCAAGGAGCCAAGAGCCAGAGGAGCCCTTGGGCTCCAGCCGACCATCTGCTCACACACCTCATGATGGGGAGCTCACCACCCTACAAAGAGCCTCTTTCACCCTCCGACTGCTCTGACCCCAGAAAGTCCCTCCTTGTGGGACCCTTAGTGTCAGCCTATCCATCGAGGGGTGCCTGCTTCTAACAGGCTTGGGCCCTGGGGCGTTCTCACGCCCACCACTGCCTGGTTCAGTTGCTGTTTCCCAAGGCCCAGTCTTCTCTGAGATGAGTCTCCACCCCCCCAGTCTTCAGGAGGGAGGGGTGATGGTACCCTGTTGGCTTAAACGTGGACACACAGACATCAACCGCACAGATGCTTCCCAAAGGCAAACGTTTATTCTCAGAGACAACTCCTATTTGATGAAGATAACATCTTCCTACCAGAAAACTGCAAATCCATTTCCTTTGTCTCCCTTTGTTCACCCCCAGCTTCAAAAGCAACTGCCCTCCCACCCCACCCCCACCCCCAGCTCAAGGGCCCAATTGCCATCTCTGCCTTGGTGGCCTGCCCTTAGGGGCACCCACCCAAACCAAGTCCCACCCTGCCAGGACAAATCCCCCGGGATGGAGACTAGTCTCCAGGTACGTCCCCACTGCCCCGAGCCCCCTTGGGCCACCTCTGCCGTCTCATACATCTATTGATTGATTGATTGATTGATTGATTATTCATTCCATCAGTGACCTCCCCGCTGGAGGGCCCTGCCCTGGACCCTCCCCCCCACCAGCCCAAGGGTGTCCCGTTGTGTTCCCCCAGGCCCCTTGTCTGCAGTTCTGCCAACTGGCCCCTTCTCTTTGCTCCTGGGTGACCTCGGCTCTGCCCCCATCTTGCCCAGCGGCCGGCTGCTGGGTGGCCCTGGGGTGCGCCAGCTTCCTCCCGGGGAAGAAGACCCCACCCCTATGGCGTCCCTGGCAGGAGCCGGTGTTCACCGGGCGGGGGTCCAGATGGGGCGGCGGTGACCTTGCCCGGGGGCGCGGGGCCGGGGGGAGGGCGGAGCGCGGCGCCCGGCGGCGGGCGGGGACGGGCGGGGACGGGCGCGGGCGCGGCGGCGGCAGCAGCAGCTCCGGCGTGCGGGCGGCGGCGGCGCCCGAGCGGACACGGAGACGGCCAGCAGCAGCCGCGGCGGCGCCGCAGGGACGAGCGCCCAGGTAGGAGGCCGGGGCGGGGGACCGGGGCGCCGGGGCCCGCTGCGTCCCCCCGCGAGGCCCGCAGGTCCTCTCCCCGCGCGCCCTCCTTTGTCCGAGCCCCCGGCATCCCCCCTCCCCCGCGGTACTGGCGGGCAGCCTTTCGGCCGAGCCAGCCCCTCCTCCGGCCCACAGGAGCCCCCCTGGGTCCCGCTGTCAGGGCGCCTCCAGGAGGAATCGAGTGGGCCCCGAGCCCGTCTCCCCGCACCGCCGCCCCGCTCAGCTCTCCTGCTCCCTCTCCCAGCCGAGGCCCTCATCCAGGAGCCCCTCCTCTGGTGGACGGCCCTCCCCCACCACTTAGATCCTCCTCGGGCCCAGGGGAGCCCCCTCTCCTCAAACCCCTCACTGGTCACGTAGTCCCTATGTCAGACTCCCTTGGGGCAGGCAGCCCGAGCCCCCAGGCCCTCACCTGGGTTGGGGCCTGCTTTCTGCACCTGAGGTCGCTCCAACCTCCCAGTAGCAGTGGGCTCTGGGGACCCAGGACCTGGCAGCTTCCCCTGGCCCGGGAGCCTCAGGGTGGGCTGTCTTGCACAGGGGAAGGACCCCAGGCTGTGTAGCCAGCTGGGGCCGGGTTCAAATCCTGCTCTGCTCTGCCACCTCTCTGCTGTGACCTTGAGCCCGTGCCACCCCCTTTTGCACCTTGGTGCCCACAGCCCCTTTCCCCCAACCCCAGCCCATGGGAGGTGCGGGTGGTTTTCAAATGGCACCAGGTGGGTTCCTGGCGTGGGTTTGCGGGTTATTGAATGGGGCTCCGAGTCAGGGATCCCAGGCCTCGGTGGGCCCCTCCCGGAGGACACCCCTGCTGACAGGCCTGGAGCACTGCCAGGGGGTCTGCACCCAGAGCGAGGCAAGGGCTGGGTCTGGGGTGGAAGAACGTATGGTCACCAGTCACCCCAGGTCCCTCGGCCAGTTGTCGTGGTGCCTGGCTGCATGCTGATGAGCTCACTTCTTGGGGTGCCCACCCAGGAAAGGGTAGTGACTGCAGAGCAGGCTGGCAGCCCTGCCAGCCACCCCCCCCACAAGTGCTATGCATGTCACCAAGATGCCTAAAAACAGTCCCCCACGAGTTAGAACCGCTAAAGCTCCTACAAGTTTGCCTGGCACGTAATTTGTGAGGTACGTGTCGGCTGTTATCTTCTCTGTATGTCTTTTTCTGACAAACCTGGTACTTTTGATCACTGAGAATGTGCCTTCCCAACCCACGACCAGCCGAGCGCTTTACACCCTGGGCCTTTGTGATTGATGACCACGTCCGTCCATCTTTACTGAGGGCTCTGTGTGCCAGGCACCTGGCCAAGGGCTTTATCCAGCTTATGGCACTGCTTGTGCCAGCAGCTCCGTGGAGTGGGCACTGAGACTGCTCACGTTTCACAGATGAGAACATCGAGGCTCGGGAACATCAATTTACTTGCCCGGGTTTTCACCGCCGGGGGCTTTCACACCACTGGGTCTTGCTCCCCGCCCCCCACCCCCCCCCCGCTCCCGCCCACCCCACACACACCTGAGGGAAGTAGATTGCCTGGGTGCAATCTTGCCATATCTTCTCTATCCCGCCCCACGTTGAGGGACCCTCAGAGACGGCCGAGAAGGAGGCGGGGAAGGGGTCTCTGCTGTTTCTATAAGCAAGGACGCAGATGCTTGGAGACAGGCTTCCTGCCTTCCCACCCCCAGGTCACGGGTCTTCCCACCTCCATCATTTCAGGAACTGCTGTGCTGTGTGACCTCCCGAGGTCAGTGGACCTCTCTGAGCACAGGGTAGGGGAGAGGGAAGAAGAGGACCCCCTCGCAGGGAGCTCTGTTCCTACAGACACATCAGACCTGAGCGGGAGGCCAGGGCAGGCCAGACCGTAGTCTGGGTTTGGAGCTCAGGGAGCGAGGCTTTCTCTCTTTAGGCTAAGTTTTACTTTTCTCATCTACAGCCTGGGCTGCTGTGGGAAACCCGCTTCATGATTTGCTAATTCTTGGACCTCCAGCACCAGGATCACAGTTACGGGATGAGGGCAGGAGAAGAGCTTTAAAATGCAAGTTCCCAGGGCTGTGGCCCTGAATCAAAGGATTCACCACTTCCAGGGCTGAGGCCCTGCAATCTGCATTTTAAAGATGCCCTACCACACAGCTCCCATGAGGCTGACGAGCCTCTGGGCTGGGGTGAGAGCAGGGAGCCTGTGATGGCCGGAGAGAGGCACCCCTTTACTTATTTTGCAGAGGAGAAAACTGAGGCTCAGGGTGGCAAGGCAGCTTGCCCAGGTCACAAAGCCAGGGAACAGCCAGTGCCACCTGGGGGCTGGGGGAGCATGCAGGTGGAGAAAGCAGTTGGTGTGCACCCCGCGCTGGCATCTCCATGCCTCTTCCAGAGACCACTCCCCACCTCGGGGAAGGAGTTTAGGCCCCAGATTTCGTTGAGGGGAAGCGGACAGGCAGAGGGTCTGGCTCTGATCCTGTGTGCAGGGCAGAATGGCAGAGTCGACCAAACAAACTGGGATGCAGGAGAAATGCCGCTCCTCCGAGAAGCCGACCTTCCCACCCCCTCCTAGTGGGTGGTCGCTCTTGTCTGACACTCCTCTCTGTGCAGGGTCGGTCTGGGGTTCTAGCAGCCGAAGCGAGCCCTCCCGGCCCCACCCCGCACCGCCGCGTGGAAGATGCCTGAACAGAGCAATGACTACCGGGTGGTGGTGTTCGGGGCGGGCGGCGTGGGCAAGAGCTCCTTAGTGCTGCGCTTCGTCAAGGGCACGTTCCGGGACACCTACATCCCCACCATTGAGGACACCTACCGGCAGGTCATCAGCTGCGACAAGAGCGTGTGCACGCTGCAGATCACCGACACCACGGGCAGCCACCAGTTCCCGGCCATGCAGCGTCTGTCCATCTCCAAGGGCCACGCCTTCATCCTGGTCTTCTCGGTCACCAGCAAGCAGTCGCTGGAGGAGCTGGGCCCCATCTACAAGCTCATCGTGCAGATCAAGGGCAGCGTGGAGGACATCCCCGTCATGCTGGTGGGCAACAAGTGCGACGAGACCCAGCGGGAGGTGGACACCCGCGAGGCCCAGGCCGTGGCCCAGGAGTGGAAGTGCGCCTTCATGGAGACATCGGCCAAGATGAACTACAACGTCAAGGAGCTCTTCCAGGAGCTGCTCACGCTGGAGACACGCCGGAACATGAGCCTGAACATCGACGGCAAGCGCTCCAGCAAACAGAAGAGGACAGACCGCATCAAGGGCAAATGCGTCCTCATGTGAGCCCAGAGCGCCCACCGCCGGCGCCCCGCTGTCCTGGCCCCAGGCCTCTCCCCACGTCCTGTGCCCCCGCTGCCCCCCTCCACCTCCCCTTCCATCTCCTCTTCCTTCTTTCCCCTCCCCCCACCATCTCTTCCACTTCTTTCCCTCCAGTGTCTCCCGCGATGAGGCCCTGCCGAGCCTGTGGCAGACCTGGGGTTCCAGCCCAGCTCTGTCGCGCCACTCTGCCTTCCCCTCCCTCTTTGCCCCGCCCCACGTCCTGTCTGTACGCCCCGCCAAAGCCAAGCGCTGGAGGTGGCCCCCTTGATCTGTACATGGGAAAACGGGGGAAGCTGCCTGTCCCCATAGGGACTGAGGAAGCCGTTTTTTCCTCCATCTCCGTGTCTCCCAGGACTCCCACCTCTGACTATGCCCCCTGGGTGCCCCCAGCCAGACCTGCACCCTGCCCCTACATTAGATCACTGTGACCTTGCCGGGGAGGAGGGAGTTGAAATGCACATGGACCTCAGATTTTTTTCTCCTACTTGGTGTTTGACATACACTCCCCTCCCCCTTCCATCCCTCATGACCTCTGGCCTGTGCTCCCCTCCCCAGGTCCCAGACCACCCTTCTCGCCCCCGTCCCCACGGATTGGTGGGGGGCCTTGCGGGCTGGGTCTCAGGCTGCCAGGCAATAACCACAGGGCTCACAGCAGTGCCCCGCCAGCCCGGAATCTCACTCCTCGCCCCACCTGGGCTTGGGGTGCAGGCAGGGGAGGCCCGGGACCGGCCGATGGCCGCGGCACAACTCCAGGGGACTGTCTGGAATGAATATGGAGGGGCTTCCGGGACATAGCCCGCAGACAGAGATCAAGACAGTTTGTCGCCACCGAGCCCAGGGCAGGGGACCTGGGGTGCTGGTGAGGGGTTGCCGGGCCCTGTCCAGAGGCAGGCATCCGGACCCAGCACCAGCAGGATCTGAGGGGCTGGACGCAGAGCTCTGCCCAGCCCGATTCTTCCCACCTACGGGGCCCCCTGGGGGAGCGCACCCAGGAAGGCGTGGGTCCTGAGGTCAGGGTGTGCCCGCCACCAACGTGAGATTCTGTTTTTGTGAGTGTCTAGATAACACCACACTCATGGGACCCAGTGAGGCCGTGTCGGACAGTATGAAGGTGACCTGTAGGCCTGGGGTGGGGTGGGGGGCACCCATGGGATGATGCATTGGGCCCCTTGGTGTGCTGGGCGGATGGCTTGTGTCTAAGCGTGTGTGTGGGACTCCTGTGTGTGTGATGGTCTGTCGTGTGATCCCAGTGTAGGGTGTATGCAGGGGTGGGTCGTGTGGTTGCCAGCAGGACCAGACACCAGACACCTGCAAGAGTGTGACTGTGTGCAGCTCCGTTTTCGGGAGTGGGTTACGGGATTTAGCAGAGAGCATCTGTGGACCTGTTTGTCCTGACTGTCTGAGGAGCACCACGCCTGCTGCACTCTGTCGTAAGGGGGCTCTCAGCCCAACGTCTGTATCCATCAGCTGTTGCTGGGGAACACAGGAGCGCAAACTCAGCAACTTGCAACAGCACACGTTTGTGGTCTCAGCATGAGGCCAGCTGGGCTGTGGTCTCATCCAAAGGCGTGAGCAGGGACAGATCCACATCCAGCTCATGTGCTCCTGGGCAGCATTCAGTTGCCTGTGGTCTCAGGACTGAGGGTCTCAGCTGCCTGCTGGCTGTGGCTGGAGCTGCCCTCAGCTCCCTGCCTCCTGGGCCTCTCCCTGGGGCCACTCACAGCGCTGGTGTCATTAGGTGCAAGGAAGCGGCACGTGTGTGTGTACGTGCGCGTGTGCACCCGCAAAAGAGAGGTCATATGACCACGTGGACTGTACGTGGGTAAGAGGGACTGTTTGTGTCCATCTTGGTAGCAGTGTGTTTTTTTCCTTCTGCATCTGTATGGCTGTTCACTCTGCAAATATTTACTGGGCCCACTGTGGGAAGGAGGGAGTGTGTGTGTGTGCACGTGTGTGTCACCGCCCGGCGTGTGGACAGGCCCACGGAAGAACAGGTAGCATCCTGTCTGAGCACTGCGGAACATCCCTGTCCTGTGGCGGGTCCAGGGCCCACCAGCAGCTGGTGTTGACCCCTCCCACCTGAAGGTGCCGGAGAAAGTGGGGCTGCGCAGGGGTCTGTGGCCCTTTCTCAGGGACATACCCTGATAGCACAATCTCCCTGGGGCTCTGCCTGCCTCCAGGCCTCTCTTGCCCCAGGCCCTGCCCCAACCCTGGGGTTTTCCAGCAGGAGGGGGCCCAGAGCCTGCCTCAGCTGCTGGCCCGTCCTGCCTCGGCACCGCTGGTTCTGGGGACTGTGCCAGGCCACGCTTGCTGTCCCCGCCCCTGCCCCCTCGCCTCCCGCATGTGGGTGCCCCCTGCCCCCCGCTGTGGGGTCTGTGTAGTATTCGCTCTACAAATAGTCTTCCTGCAATAAAGAAGTGGATTCCGCATTCTCCAGCAGTGCGCCTTTTTTGGGATGGGGAGGTCAGCTCGCCACCTGTAAAGGATGAGAGACCAGAAAGATGGGTGTGAGGGCTGGGTCTGTGGGAAGAGTTTGGACTTTTGTGACGAGGACTCTGGGGCGTCATGGGAACATTTCAGTGACCCCCAACAAGAGATCACACCAGCCCCGCTGGACCTGTACTTCCTGTAGCCATTGAGGTGATCGGGCAGGCACTATGATCCTCATATTACCTGGGGAACAACCTGCAGGATGTAAACCAACTATAGTCCAATAAAAATTAATTAAAAGAACAACAACAACAAACAAACCTGCAGGGCCTCAGTTTTCCCATCCACTAAATGGCTCAGGGCAGATTTCGTGAATTTATAAACACGGCCAGGACTAGGGTGAGAAAGCGAGGCACTCATCACGTGTGACAAAAAACTCAGCCGTCTAGATACATATTTTACTGCAATATTTAATGTAAAGGAGGCCACGATGAACAGAACATCAGTATTTTTGAAATAAAGACAGGATCTGACAGGGCTAGGGCTAGAGAGTAGCAAAGGAGGTGGTTTGCACCAGCGTAGAATCAAATCTTGTCTTTCTTTAAAATTTTAGTTATTTTGTTCAGCATGGATTATTTCTGCATTTATTTGACTTTTTAAAAAGCATTTAAAGTATTTACTTTAAAAAGTATTTATCTGGATGGTGAGTGTTTTGGGGTGCCCCTTTAGGTTCAGGATTTGATAAAAGTGCCTCACTTGCCTTACCCCAGCCCTGCCCTAATCTGTCTTTGGGGCTGCAAGAATCGCCAGACCTGATTTTTCAAGCGTGCCTGGAAATCTGGATTTTTTTTTGTGAAACAACCTGATTTTTAAATGTTGGCAACGAATTTAGAATTTTACAGCATTTGCGGGCCACCAGTTTGCAACCCTTGTGCAGACAGTAATTCCTCCTGTGGGATGGAGCTGGGGAGCGAGATGCTGTCGCCAGGCACCTGGTTCTGTCTGTGCACTGCAGGGGGTGAGCAGGGAGGTTCCTGCGGGGATGACAGCAGCCGTGGGGGGGCCCAGCTGGGAGGCCAGCAGCTCAGATCACAGAGTAACAGTGTTTCACAAAGTTCTGGAAGTCCCAGAATACGGTGGCTCCATCCTCCTGTATGAGAAAGTCTCCCCTCCATGACCGCTGGGTACTTTTGGAGACATATCAAATGTTTCCCAACATCAACGAGGGAGCATGTTAAAAATGCACATTCCAGGCGTTCAGTTCCTTTCAGGATTCTGGTTCATTCGATTTGGGTGGGGGGCCCAGGAATCTGCATTTTACAATCAAGGCCCAGGAGTTAGGATATTAAGAAACCCTGGACAGGGTTGGGCAAATGACCTTGAGTTTAACCTCTCTGAGACTCAGTTTCCACCCCTGTAAAACGGGGGGGGGTAATATTGTCTCGCCTCCTAGCCTTATGCAGAGCGTTCAACGAGAGGGAGCAGTTATTATTATTGTCCTGCAGGTCAAGCGACTGATTAGGAGGGGATATTCTCCCCCCGCACGTGAGGTAGGATTCGGATTTGAAGCCGCGGCCCCATCCGGGATTCGAACTCGCGAAACGCCTCGCGCCTCCTCGACGTCACTAAGTCACCTCTGAAACTCGGCTCGCCGCCCCGCTGCGGGGGGCGCCCCCACACTGTACTTATTTGCGTATTAGCATAGCTCCTCCCCCCCTGCGCGTTCTCCCCTTGCGGGTGGCCAGCAGCGGTGCCACTCAACGCTCCGCCTCCCGGCCCCGCCCACGCCCCACGCCCCACGCCCTCTCCCTGGCGCAGCCTACCCCGCTGCCTGCCCTGCGCCCCGCCCCGAGCCCTGGCTCCCGCCGCCGGCGCTCGCGATTGGCCGCGTTGGGCGCCAATGCCCGCCCCGTGCGAGCCGCCGCCGCCCCCGCGGAGGGGAGGGAGCGCTCGCGGGCCCGTGGTGCGTTCGGCTGCGCTGCGTGAGGGGCTGAGGCGGTCGTGGTGGCGCGAGCGCAGGTAAGGGCGCGTGCGGCCGTGATTTGGGCCAGGGTCTCCCGCCACCGCCTCGAGTGCCGGGGGCAGGGCGCGGCCGGGGCGGATGGGAGGCCCGGGCGGCCGCGGGTGGCGAGTTCTGGAACGGCTGCGGACGGAATCGGGGGTCGGGGTCTGTGAGGAGGGACCGGGGATCCGGCTTAGGGGTTGGGGTCGGGGTTCCTGAAGCGGGTGCTGGGCTGGGAGTTTGGGGTGGAGTTGGAGGCTGGAGCTGGGGGTCGAGGTTAGCTGGGGAGGGGACTGCGATGGAGTTGGGGGTCCCGGTGGCCGAGGAGGGTGATAGAGGAACTCGGGGTCAGGGTGAGCTGGCACAGGGCCAGAGAGCTGAGTTGGGGGGAACCGAGGGAAGAGGGGGCGTCAGGCTCCTTTCAGAAAGCTTCCGAGGGCTATCAGGAGAAATGGAGAGTTAGGAGTCTGTGAGTGATGAGAAAGGAGGGGTGGGGGCGGGAGGGGGGATAGAAGCTGAGAGACAACCCCCCCCCCCAC